AACCGCCACATGCAGGAGTGGGACTAGCTCATTTCACATCTCCACTCTTCCCACCAGTCTCAAAGTGGCTTCTTCTGTGTGTCCCTAGTTATAGAACTTTTGTTGAGCTAGACTTCAGATGACTCCTAGTGATAGCTATTCTGAAGTTTAGTTGTAATTTTAACATGGTTATGAGAGGAGGAAAGCATCGTGTTTACCTATTCTGCCAACTTGACCACAACTGATCAAAGTATATTTTAAACAGCCTTTTAAACAATAAGAAAATTTACCATTTGTAGAAATTATATAATATCTTGTTTAGTAAAGCAAGTCAAAATTTTTTTAATAAAATAAAAATCATAACCAAAGGAAGGCTTCCCCACATCTGCCCCTTCTGGCCCACATCTGGGATGCTCCCCAGGTACCCCTTCTGCCAGCCCACAGAGACCTGCACCTAAACCCAACAAGTGACTGGCTAATCACAGAGCATGCCTGTGCTGATGCATCTTTTCTCACTTATTTACTTAACTCAAACCATTAGGGCTCTTTCCAGTACATCCAGAAGACCTATATCTAGGGACCTTGCCTGAAAAAGTGATGAGACTTTCAATTACCAAAGCAACTGGAGCACCCAGCCATGGGGTTGATCAGTGCACTGTGGTGCATCACTAGGGGGAATGTTATGCAGCATTTAAAATATTATTTAATGACACAGACCAATGCTCTCTACAAAGTGTGCCCCTTCTCCATGCTGCCTGCCTTGTCCAATACAACATGACTACCAACCATTTTGAGAACCAGACCTGAGCAACACAGAGGGGACCAGAGAAGCTGGGTAAACCCTAGTGAGTCTCTCTAGCCAGGCCCCTACTCTACCAGGGCAGATCTGCCTCCTCTGGAAGGTGAACCTCAAGTCAGCCTCCACTGGATTCAGGGAGAGATTGTGAAAAGAAAGATTTCCAGGCCTCCCATATAGATCCCTCAGTGCAACCACTGGAGTCAAACGTTTACCCAGGATGTGTTATGTGGGTTCCAGCCCAGCCAGAGACTATCCACAGGACTTGAAGATGAGGCTTTGAATGAAGCTGAGATCTGAGGCAGAGAGTGCAAGGCCTCATCAACCACCAAAGCCTTCAAAGCTGGTGGGAAGTGTTCTCTGTTCATTTTAACCATATGGAAAATTAAAGTCTATTTAGCCCCTTTTAAATATATTTTCCTTTCTTTGTTTAATAAAAGCTAGAGCTGTGCCACTGTTCACAAACAATCTGGGACCCAGATCCAGGAAGAGAGTATGAGCTGCCTGTGCCCATAGCCCAAGCCACAGATGCTCCATCACGCCTCTCCAGATTGCTTCTCTTCACGGCCTGCAAAGACGCTAAAACCAAGATGTCCTTTGGCACTGGTGGTTTTGTTCTCCTTTTCCTTTCCCCCACTTCCTTAGAATGTGTTGGGTAGAGAGAAGAGCACAGAGACAAAAAAAGAACTGTCCTGTCCACTGAAACCCAAGCTCAAGTAAAGGCCCCACACAACACACAGAAGATGCACCCACCACCAGCCTTCCAGTCTCTTCTGGGCCAGACTGCTTTTCCTAGTGCCCAGATGGCTCACTCCAAACCCCATTGATATAAGTGGGCATCTAGTCCTATCACTCCCCTGTGACAAGGGACAGCTTTCTGTCCACATCTTACTTGACCCACAGCGGGAACAAACTCGATGAACTCCTTCCTCCTTCTGGAAGCATGCTACTCTCCCAATCTGAAGTTCAGATCTCTGCAGAGTACCCATCCAGTTGCTGAGAAGATCGGCTCAGAGCTTCTTCCATTGTTGCAACTACCCCCAGCTCCAGAGAGCCATCTCACCCAACTTGTTCTTCCTGCCAGGGCTGGCTTATAGGCCAGTGACTGCCTGATTGGGGAATCCAAAGGCTTGACTCTTTGACTCCATTTGGGACAGCTCTGAGGGCCACCCCTGCCCCAGAGCACCCAAAGGATGGGCTGAGGCCTCAGTTTCAATCATGTTGCTAGCCAGTGCCTCCCTCTGCCCAGCTCTACCTCCTACTCCTCTGTAGATGTGTCTCCTGAAATCACTCCCCAGTAAACATCCTGCACCTAACTCTCCAATTTCAGATTCTGTTTCTGGAAAACTCAACCTAAGAAAGTTGATATGGCAGCAATCTCAGAGACAGTCTCCAAAGGGAATTGTGGAGCCAGCTCTCTCACAGCCCCTGGCAATGCAGTCAGCACGAGTGGACATAGGAAGTGGAAGCCCTGCACCCTGCACTGGCATATGTGGTAAGTGTGCTGGTGGGGACCATGGAGAGGAGGCCTGTAGCAGAGGACACACACACTGGGCAGCATCCCTGCCCATGAGAGGTTGACAGAAGAGGTGTGTATAATAAGGACTAAGGAATAAGTGAAACTTGCTGAGGTCATTGATTTGTTGAAGAAAAAAAATGACAGGCTTGGGGTGATTAATTACTAACTCAAGGCAAAATGTGAAGCTAAAGGGGCCTCCCTGACAGTTTTAAGGGGATTCAAATCTCCTACAGCCAAGAAGAGAGAGAGGAACTTAATCTCAGAACTTAACTGTAAGAGTGCCGAGTTTCGAGAAGATGGACTTCTCCACCCTAGCAGACCCCCTACACAAAGGTCAGGGCCCAGTATGCAAAGCATGGACCTGAGACAGGATGAGGATATCTAGTGGCACATCTCTCAGGCCCCTAAACTTGCTAATGGGAGGCAGAGCAGCCCATTCCCCTTCCAGCAGATGGTGCCCGGCATGACGGCAGGCCCTGCAGCAGCTCAAACTAGGAGAGAGCCACACAAGACAGTGCCTCTCCCCTAAGAAAGTACCCACCTACCTTCTGGCCACCAACCCAAGCACTAGGATCCCATCCAGCACAGCCTATCAGGAAAGACACTGGGCCTGTGAAAGGAAGAAAGATATGACAGATCAAATAAGCTGCAGGACCACCCAGCATGCCCCCATGGGAGCCAGGGATATGCACAGGACTAAATTTTAGGGCACTATAACAAAAGATAGAAAAGTTGGAGAAGGGAAAAAATACTAAGATAGGAAGGCTTCCTGTGATATGGGATTTAATGCTCCAGCAACACCTGAGAGAGCAGAGCTCCCACACATGGCTCCTGAAGGGAGTGGTGGTCCACGCTCAATGAAGTTAAAGTGCCAGAGTTGCCACAACAGACACTCCAGGCAGAGTACAAAGAATGTACCCGTTTGAGTGAATAGACTATGTAAGAAGGAAAATCACCAGGTGTCCATGTTCCCCAAGAGGGCTTGAGGATGCCCCATCCATTAGTGAGGAGTAATGAGTATCCCCAAAGGCCCTTAACAGCTCAGAGTTGGCTGTCCATGTAGGTCTAACAGAGGATGCTGCACAGAAGTAGGCTCCCTGGTAGCAGTGGAGAGACAAGCCCACTGAGACAGAGGGCAGGGCAGCACCTGATGTCAGAAGCCAGGTGTGCATGTGAACATAATGAGCAATAAGATCCAAGAGGCAGCTAGTCGCACCTGACTGGCAGAAAGCTATGGAGACAGTTAAAGAACATGGCATTCCTAGAGGCAAGAGAGATGGGCTAAGAGCAAGGGTGTTGCTTACTTTATACAGTCAGAATGAATCATGGTTGAAAGATTAGAAGACTAAGGACAAAGACTCCACTGAAAAGTAAGCTCCAGGCCCTTGCCTAGCATCAGGTTTTAAGCCAGCTTTCAATCTGAAGCCTCTGAATGAGTTCCCAGGAAGAAGGATGCAAGCACCACAGCAAAGACATTTAGTGACCTTCCTCAATCTTTCCCCAAAGGGCTCTATAGCCATTTACTTGGCTAACCATGTGCTAGGGAAATAGGAATGCCCAGACCCTCAAAGATGGTTAGACATTGATTCTGGGAATGTGCCACCTTGCCCACTTTGTTAGAGCAGAGTGTGCAGGGACCAAGTACCAACAGAGTTCTGGTCTGGCTCAGCTCACATTGTGTCCACAGAGCCATCAATTGTCCTGCTGGTCTTCAGCTCTGAGTATCAGTGCCCCAGGGCTGACTGCAGACCCCTGCCTTTGCTCTCCAAGCCTTCCCTGCTCCCATCCAGGCCCATCTGTGTGAGCTGATTACCAAATATGTCTGCAGTCCTCTCTCCAGACTGTTCTACATCCTCATTCGGCACCTCTTTACTTCTCCCAGGCATCTCAAAGGTATTATGTTCCAAACTCTTCCTTCTCCAACCCATGTCATGTGCAGTGAGCCACTGCCTATTCTGTGTACCTATCCCCAACTTCATCTGCCTTCTGAAACCAAACTTCTCTGGCCAGGACAGCTACATATGCTCCCTGCTTACACACAGGCTCCTCTACCCACCCATCCACTGCAACCACAGAACTCATCTTAAAGCATAGATCAGACCTCATCCTTCCCTAGATCCCCATCCATGTAGAATGAAATCCAAAGGCAGGGTTTGGTCTTGAAAGTCTTGCCTGGCCCAAGCCTTGTCTGGCTCCCCAGCCCAGGGAGTTGTCAGCGCTAAATAAAAATTCTGTGGGCTGTCCTTGACTCCCACATCCTGGACTGCCACCTCTCCTCTCTTCTTCCTTCTTCTCTTTCTCAAGAACAAAGACTTTGAAGGCCCATCTCTCTGTTTCTGAGGAAAGTCATTAGGGTGTGGACATGGATAGTCTTACCCACTGCTTTATAAAAGACACATGAAGAGAGCAACACTAGTCCAAGAAAAGATTTTCTGATAGCGTGATTTCTGGCAAAAAGGCTGGGCCATGAGGAAGAGCTATTGAGCAAAGAATTGCTTCCATATTTATTTCTATGGGCACCAAATCAATGTTTGTTGTAAATAAATAAATAAAAATTAATAAAAGCAACTTCACCATACACTCCTTCAACACCATGAGCATATCTCTAGCACCATGTTATTTAAAAATATCTTACGTATTACCTTTTCTGCTCTCCTCTCTAAACTGTGAGCTTGCTGAGGGAAGGCATATGAAGTTATTCTCTGAATCTTTTACCTCTAGCTGGGCACTGAGCAAATGCCCAGAGAGTGATGAAGGCACAGAAGCAGCAGGCAGAATCTGGCCTCCTTGGGCCTCCTTTAACCCTGTGCACATGAGGAAAGCATGGGTCAAGATTGCAGCCCACATGTCTGCCTCCCACACGCCAGGCTGTCTGGCTTTGAGCTCTCCAGGGACAAGCCTGCCAAGGCAAGCCCAGCTTCATGCCAATGCTGGCCCAGGTCCTGGCCCCAGAAAGTGCATAGTGCAGTCTGGCTGGCTGGGCTTCCACCAGGTGAATAAGGAATTACTCCCCTCCCTGAAGATTCATTTTGAAAATATATTTAGTAACTTCTAAACAAATTGTACCAATCCTCCCAGTTTTGTTTAGTTAAATTAATTTTATTTTAATATTTCCATTAGCCATTTAATTTATTCTAAAATCTGGCACTACAAAGTAATAAAACCTCTCAAATATTGACAGACAGTAAAGTAAATGTCACCCAGCTACAACCATCTGTTTTCCTCCAAATTCCTCAAGATGAAGAGTGTTCCATCATCATTTATTTATGGGCCTTCCTGGGCCTGTGGTATAGCTCTAAGCCTCCCCAACTCTGAATCAGGCTGAGAGGGAAAGAAGAAAAGGTTCTGGAATGAAAATGAGAAAATTTACACAGCAAAAAGAAATGGAGTAAGCTCCAGTGAAATGTGAAAGCTTGTTTACTGCTTACTCCATCAGCAGTAAACAAGGACTCCATTGGTGTCCTTGGTACTGACCCTATTCTCATTTCTCACCCCCACTTCTCCCAGCCTTGCCTTGGGATGAGAGAGTGTCCTCCAGCCCCGCTTGCCTGGATAGGAGGGAGAGCAGCAGGCTGCACAACCGTCACTGGGAACTCACAGAGGCAGAACCTGGTCTGACAGCTCAGAGCCCCTCTCCTGCACCTCCTCCCAAACATCTTCTTTAGTATCTGGGGTAACAATGGAGCCCTGGCTCTGAGGGCAGCTCTCCATAAGCCAGGTGCCACATGGTGTGGAGGAAAGTCCTCAGGCATAACAGAGCCAGGTTCAAATCTTAGCACCATCACTTGTGAACTGTGGGAGCTTAAACCTTCTTTTTCACTAGAGCCAAAGCCCAGTATTCTCTGTGGGGCTGGGATATGGGCCGGCCCATAACAGGGACCCAGGAGCCCCTGGCAACACTGGCCCCACTCTCCTGATGCCCATTGTCTCTAGAAAGAAAGGCCGTTGCCTGGGCCACTGCTCTCTGAGCCAGGGAACAGGTTAGACATCGCCAGGTGGGGGACCATAGAGGGAGACCACACAGCCCAAGGCACCTGCACACCTGCCTGTGAGTTTGAATGTACTAGTGTTTACATGGCACACATACTTACAATTTCTCTCCCTCCGGCATGCCAAGCCAAGGCAGCCACAAATATTCCCCTGCCCTCGTCCACCAGAAAGCCCCATCTGCTCAGTCTTCACTCTCTAATTGCTCTTGTGACTCCCTCCTCGCTCCCACCCACTCTGGGCAGTATATCTGCAAGGTTATATATTCAATGCAAGACTCTACTGAAGAGGGAAGCGAGGATGTCATCCAGGAAGGCGTTTAGCCCTGAACTTCTGCTGGAGCCCGGAAGGGAACGGACGGCCAGGTCATTCACTGGTCCAGCCAGCAGGCATGTCAGCACCACAACTTGCTCCAGGGATATTAGACATCACCAGTTGCCCAGAGCCCTGTGAAGAGAGAGATCAACAAGTGAGAAGATGTGCCTGTGTGCTGTCAGCAATACAGGAGAGGTTCTAGAGAAGGTAGCACTGGAGTGGAATTCTGCAGTGTTCTAGGGGGAAGAAATGGTGTGAGTGAAGGGTCAGAGGAGGGAGCCGTACCCCCATTTAGGGAACCCCACACAGCTTGTCCACTGGAGCAAAAGGGGTGAGAAAACATGAACAAGGAAGGCCGAGACCTACGACTGGGAAGAAAGCACAGAATTTAGCCAGAGGGCTATACAGAGCCAAGGCAGGTTTTAGCCTGGGGGCATTAAAGGCTCCAGTGTGAAGCTCAGACACATCCCTAGGAAGAGTTGTGTGGAGTGTCAGAAGAGCCCAGTTGAGGATGAAATGCTGAAGATAGTGGGAAAAGAGCAGATGTGGGAAGGGCCTGAAAGAGTTCTTCAAACAAAAGCCTGCCCTGTGCTTTCCTTCCATCTATGTGCCACAGGGAGGGCCTCAAAGGAGGCAGTTGACATCAACACCACACAAACTGGCAGGGAGTATTTGGGATGGGAGTGACCCCTCAGACTCAGAAGGGGACCTCAGTGGGTGTTGTCACAGAAGAATAAGCTCAAGTAAGGCCTCTGACATTTGGTGCAATTCCTAAAGAAATGCCACAAAACATACCTTGGTGACATTTCTTCCATTTTTAATCTACACATTTGGGTCTTCAGTTATCTTAACAGGTTCTGCTGACATCATCCTGGAAATTAACAAAGCGACTCTCACAGCTCTAAAGGAGGAAAAGGAAGTTGTGTGTTCACAGTCAAAAGAGGAGTTCATAAATTTTCACAAAATTACTAGATGTGTGTAACTTATGGCTGAGTCTATGAGGAGCAAAGAGATGGCTGTGAGGAGACAACACGGTGAGAGAGCAGCCGTACACTCAAAGGCTGTCAAGGACAACTGGGGTAGCCAGTGATAGCCCCTGGGCTCAGGAGCAGTGTTGGCCAAGATGCGCCAAGGCAGTGCTTCATTTACTTCTTATTCCAGGACGCCCGTGGACTTCACACACAGCAAATACCTGCATGATAGCCAGCCTCAGAATACTATATGGGCCCCAGGTGCCACCTAAGGGAGTCATGGCTGCTCCGCACACAAAGAGTCTCTGGAGATTCAACATGGCCCTTCCTGCTGCAGCAGAAATCTAAGTTGCCCAGAGACAGTGACGTCACCAAGGCTGGGCTGATGGCCGCGATGCAGGGCAGCCATGGATACTTGGATGACAAATACCACGTCAGCCACCCAGCACCCACCCCTATTGCACCATGTGTGTTCACTCAAGGAACATGCACAGGTCAAGAGCTCCTTCCTTGTGCAAGACAGCCCCTGAAAGAGAATCAACATTCAGTCTTGGTTCAGGAAGTGGGAATAGAGAAAAAGCTCTTCAGGTGTCTAAGGACACATTCCTCAAAGATACTCTGAAACTTTTGTTGCCCATTTTTCAGCAAGGACACACCAAGGTCACACAGGTGGTGAGTGGTGGAGATAAGTTTCTAAGTCCATATCTGATAGCCTAATAACCTACATTCTCCACCGGCTGCTTCTGTCTACACCAGCATCCTGAACCTTTTTGGCACCAGGAACCAGTGCTCCTATGAGAATCTAACCTGATGATCTGAGGTGGAGCAGAGGCGGTGATGCTAGTGCTGGGAAGTGGCTGCAAAAACAGATGAAGCTTCTCACACTGGCCCACTGCTCACCTCCTGCTGTGCAGCCTGGTTCCTAATAGGCCACAGACTGGTTGGAACTGGCCCGGGGGTTGGGGACCCCCACTCTACACCAAATGACAATCAGGTGACAGTGCTTGATTGGGTATATATTTGCAAGTTCAATTCATAGTCATGCCTTATATGTTCTCTTGCATGCACCAGATATTTTACTTTAAAAGATAATAAAGAAAAGGTTTCAGAGCCAACCGAAAGCAGATCATTCCTCTCCTTGCACTCATGGGGACAGGCCTGAGGAAGAACCTCACCAGGGCATGGTGGAAAGTTTCTGGATGTCCCCTCTTGCCAGACTGTGAGCTTGTCTGTGGCCCCTGACTCATCTGGCTTTTGGGGTACTTTCTGGCACTAGTACTCTCAGCCCATCCCGGAGCCACCCCCAAAGATGGCCACAGCCGCTGCAGCGAAGGGGCCCATGGTTGCAGAAAGTGGGCACTACTGTGCCTGGGCTTCAAAATGAGGTACAGACTCTGCCACCATCAGGTAAGTCAGCCCCAAGGAGCTGTGATTTGCCAAAAGGCTGATTCCCTGTCAACATGTCCCCTAGAACCCTCTCACTAGCAGGATGAAAAGCCACCTTAGAGAGAGAAAAAAAGAACCCTGGGGGAAGTGACTCCTATGAAACAGGTATCCCACTGACTCACTCATCATGAGAGCTGCCCTACCAGAACAGTCTAGGTCTAGCCTCCAAGTAGGGGTAGGAGGAGGGAAAGGAGAAGAGGACAGTGAGCTTGATCTAGAGCAGCTACCCAGTGACACAACAGTGTGGCCTGTCATGGGAGAGGGGTGAGTGGCAGGATCTGGATGTTGAGAGGACCTATGGGGAGATAGGTTCTTCATCATGTGGCAAGGTTAGCCTGGAGGTAGGGGTCATTGGAGAGCCATCCTGGAGGCCAGCCCAGCTGGCAGGCAGGCATGGTCCAAGACAAGAAGGCAGAGAAGTGAGATTAAACCCCCAAGGAGGCCAGAGGAACCTTGAATGAGTATACCCATATTCAAGCCTGACCGTTGAACCTCAGATGAGCTGCTCAGCCTCTCTAAGGCTAGTTTCCTCATCCATCTGGTGGGACTGAGAATTCCCATCTAGTAGAAGTACTGGTGGGAGGAAGTAAGATCCACAGATGATATTGAGACGTATAGAGGATATGGCAACTTCTAGTTACTGAAAGACTTCTCTGATGGCCACCTAATCAAAAGCAGCACAATAGTCATTCCCATTTCATAGATGAGACAACTGAGGCCCAGAAAGAGAAGTAACGAGTGTAAACCCACAGGAGAAGAAAGCATGCCAGGCCCAGAAAGCAGGTCTCCCCCAGTTCCAAAGACACTACCCTTTCTCTTACACCAGCCACTTCTTTAGCATAAGCCTCTTTACTCACCTCTTCCCCTGCAGAGATAAGAAGTGGAGTTATTTTCAATCTTCAAGTTTTCATTCCCTAAAATTCTGGGAAATTATTACAAAACTGCAGCTGCGGCAGATAGACCAGTATGAGGTATGGCCTTGCTGAGAAGGTGGTGCCCATCCCCCTCAAATGTAAATTGGTACAGCCACTATGGAAAACAACATGGAGTTTTCTCAAAAAACTAAGAATTAATCTACCATATGATACACAATCCTTCTACTGGGTATTTACCCCAAAGACTTGAAAACCCATATCTAAAAAGATATTTGCACACTGATGTTCTTCACAGCAGCATTATTCACAGTGGCCAGGACCTGGAAGCAACCGAAGTGTCCTATGATAGATGACTGGATAAAGTAGCCGTGGTACATATATAAAATAGAATATTACTCAGCCATTAAGAAGAGATGAAATATTGCCATCTGCGACAACATGGATGGACCTCAATAATCATGCTAAGCAAAATAAGCCAGACAGAAAAAATTGAAAACCACATGATATCACTTATATGTGGGATGGACAATAGACTAGTGGTTACTAGAGGGGAGGAGGGGAGGTAGATGGGGTAAAAGGGGTCAACTATGTGGTGACAGAAAGAAATCTAACTGTGGGTGGTGAACACACAATGCAGTATATATATATGACTAACTGTTGAATTGTACACTTAAAACTCAATTGGATTTTTTTAACCAATGTCACCATAATAATTTTTTTATAATTAATTAATTAATTAAAAATGTTTATGGGTTGTCCCTCTCTGTCCCTTGACCTTCTCCACAAGGACAGCTGTGAGATACCTCCTGCCAGGCAGATCCTAGGCTCGTTGTAGCCTCTGGCTACCTGTGACCTCACATGTCTCCTTCAGGGGGTCAATGACACCAAATCTTCCACACTCCTTCTCCAGGATAGTTTCTGATGCTCCCTCAGGCTGTCAGGGGACTTAAATCACAAGTATGCCATGGCAGAGACAGCTGACAGGTGCGAAGTCCCCATCAATCTTTCCACAGGACAGTTCAGGCTCTGGCTAAGAGGGATTTATGGGATGAGGGGGACACGGGACAATGCCACCCTACCCAGGCCCCTCTGGCAGCCTTTTCCTATGATCAGGAAGGGCAGCTCAAGGGGAGCTCACTCCTGCAGGCGGAGTTGGTTTCCCCAATAGGCATCTCAGGCTGCTAAGCTTACCAATGGCTCCACTTGTTTTTCATTGTCTTCTGCATGCGTTCAAAGTATGCAAAAAGTGTGCATTATTTTTTAAATTAAGGGAGAAAAAAAACAATAAGGTTGTGTTTTGTTTTGTTTTGTTTTGTTTTGTTTTGTTTTGAAGAGGGTTTTTCTCAAGTGCTAAGAACCACACAGGCGCCTTCCACCAGCCTGCAGGGAATAGGAACACTTGAAGAGAAGCCTGGGCATGTCTGATTTCCCAGGGAACCCTCATAAAAAGCCTTTCTTGTTCCAGGAACAATGCTGTGCTGGCAGCAGGCACAAATCAGCCCTAAAGAAACCCAAGCAGGATTCCAACCATAGCCTGGAAACGCAGCTGAGCTAACTGCCCCATTCAACCAGCCTCCAGCCACCAAAACCCAGCAGACACTTTGCGCCCTCTTCTTCTCTCTCCATAACCCCCACCTGAAACTCCAGACATTCTGGGCCTGGCTGCTGAGGTCTGGCCTAGGCAATTGTTCAGTATCTATGCCATTTTGGTCAGAAAAGTCTGGGTGGGTGCTTAGAGAAGGCCTTGATGATCTGGAAGGATACAAACGTTGGGGGCCCTCAATATTCCTCGTCTCTCTGCCTGCCTACCTATCCACCCACATGACCTTGGTAAGTTGCCTTACTTCTCTGTGCCTCAGTTTCCTGATCTCTACAGAAGGGTAACAATAACGCCCACTTTGTACAGTAGAGAAAAGGAGAAAAATGCTTAGGCGGGAGTTGCCTTGAGCACCCATGCATTCACAGTCATTACTATCAATGTTAATTTAATAATTTACCCTTAAGCAAACAAGTATCAAACGCCATCTGAGTCTCTGTGCTTGAATTCGCTACTCCAATGAATACTTGATTCTTCATTGCCACTTTAAATTCTACCCACAATTTGGTGTGTCAAGACAGGAATTATCCTTACTATGTGACAGCTAACAAACATGATCAGCTCCTTACATTGTCATTGAGCCTCCGCAGGGCAGAGCACTAGATTTGTGGAACACAAAGATGAGAAGCCCTTGCCCTGTTTTGAGCAACCTTATACTTTAACACAAGAAAAATGGGTTGTTTTTAAGTCACAAGTCACTTGTGTCTGGTTAATCAGAGCTGCCTGGAGCAGTGTATTGAAAAGGATTTTGAAGCTGCCTGTCAGTTCAGAATAGAAGTGCTGTGTGGTGGCTAAATGATGCCTACCATAGGCACAGGAGGGGCCTAAGTAGTGGGTTAGATATAGGCGGTAGTTTAAGGAAGAGCCAAAATTAGAACACAGGTCTCTTGTGCTCAATGTGGTGAGCACAGGCATAACACCTTCAAAGTACTTGAAAATTAAGGAAAATTTTACAGCTTTCATTTTCTATTTTGATGAAAAGTCACCATTTGCTATGAACAGAATTGTATCCCTGTCCCAAATTCATGTGCTGAAGCCCTAATCCCCAATGTGACTATTTGAGCATAGGGCCTATAAAGAGGTGTTTACAGTTAAATGAGGTCATAAAAGTAGGGCCCTGATCTGATAGGACTGGTGTCCTTATAAGAAGAGACAGGGCTCAAGGAAGGAAATATGGCAATAGCCCAGCAGAATAAAAAGAGGGATGTGATGAGAATTAGAGAGAAGCAGTTGTCTCAATAGACTGGAAAGAGAACCTGAGCACCTGGCTGAAGAGGGTGCTGGGCCTTCTTAGAGCAGGAAAGCTCTCCCTGCTGTAAGCTCCCAGCAGGAGGGAAGGTAGATGAGCACACACTTCCCTGGCTCCTGGGTGCAAGGCTCTTCTCACAGTCTCCTCCAAAAAGATGCCTTCCAGCTGATCAGTCAGGACCTAGGCTGTCAGCTTCAGGGCTGGTCCCTCGCCCACCAGGCTCCAGATCTCTGTCTAGCCAGCCTATGAATAATACATGAAGCACCATTTTGAATATAAAGCATAGCATGTAAATACTATCTCTGAATTCTAAACACAGTCCTGCCTTTGAGGACAATTACCCATTTCAAAGTATTCTCCCATCCATTGTTTGCCTTTTCAACAGCCCTGTTGAAGTGGTTTGGGGATGATGCCATTTTATCCATTTGGCAGGTGAGAAAATTGAATCTCCAAATATTAGTATATTAGTCAGGGTAATTAATGCTGGCTGCTATAACAACTAAAACATTTGGTTTAACACAATACAAGTGTATTTCTCATTCATGCAAACCCATTACAGGTGCTCTGGTCTGTGGCTCTCCTGGGAGTTCAGGGATTCCAGCTCCTGCTATTTTGTAAGAGCACTGTCTGTGAGGGTCTTTGGGGTCCTCCTCTGGACCCTTGAATTCTGCTGGTCAATGAGTAAAAGTGTGGAGAACACACAAGATGAGGCTCTGCCAGGCCTGAAGGTTGGTATACCTTACCTTTCTGTCCATATTCCATTGGCCAAAACACAGTCACCTGACCTCAACTTTATGCAAGGGATGCTAGGAAATGTAGCTCAAGTGTGCCCACGAAGAGGTACTGGAACTGGGAGCATCTGGCCAGTTCACATATGCTCCAGGTTAGATGTCCAGGTTCTGGCTCCCTGAACCGTACTACCCACCCTCCCATTGGGTTTCCCCACACATGTCCTCTCTGAGCCTACTCCTAGGACAGGGACTGAATTAAGACTTCAAACTGAAACCCCTACATATAGCTTTAGTTATAAGATGTTTGATTAATTAAATACCAGAGAAGTGTAAAGGGACAGGAAGACATTATATTCACCTAAGAGGAAATTGCAAGGAGGGAGATTAAAACCACATTTGAATTACAGAAAAAATAATTGGCAAAGTTCCTGGAATCCAATACATTCCTGTAATGAGTTGCTACCCAGGTGGAATTCTCTCCCCAAATACAAAGCAATACTCGTGTCAGATTCCAGGAGACCCAACTTAATTACAATCTAGTTAGATATTAAAGTTGTAGCTACTCAAGTGCAGCAACAGTTGCCTAATTACCAGGTCTCAGGGGGGAGTCTACAATCAGTTTTTAAAGGAATATCTCTTCCATGTAGCACCTTTCCACAAGGGCTCCTGGAATCTTTCCAAACATTAACATCCCTTTAGGAAGTCTCAGGCATGTTGACAAAATTTGGAGTCTCTATCAGTAGAAAAGGTCTGACTTGGACACTGAACCACAGAACTGTGGGGACATTGTTTCAAGGTCCAAACTACAAAAAAGGAGAAGCAAAGTGGTATTGCCAAGGGTGGAGGGGAGTGTTCCAGGAGGTGTGTGGTAGGAGTCAGGAGACCTGGAATCCTGTCCTAGTTCTGGTCGGCTTTGAATTCCGAAACACTCGTGTTCATGCAAAGAAGTGCCTCACCATGAGTCAGTGGGAGGTTCCTGGGTCAGGATGTCTGCACAGCTAAGCTAGGACATCAGGATGCAGGAAAGTGGGTCAGAAGGCCTGAACATGGCCCCCAGTGCCTTTGCGCAACTGAGAAGTACTTGATAGAAGGAGAGCCTAGAGTGTGGGGGCAGGAGGTGGATATACTGCCAGGCAGGGAAGAAGGGGGTGGGATCCCCTTTAGCTCTGAAGGGAAAAGACACCTGAACAATGACAACTGGGGACAGAATGCTGCAGAGAGAGGGAAAAGCATCCACAAAGAGCACCTGAAACAGCCTGGGCACTTTGAGTGAAGCACATGCTTCAGGGTGGAGATGCAGCTGGCAGGTGATCGACAGTGGTGCAAGACAGGGAGAGGCTGTCACTAGAGCCTCAGGACCTCACATCTGAGCACAAGAGTCTGGGCTTCCCCTTAAATAGGAGGCGTTCTCAGGACCATCCCATCCCTCACAGTATTTCCCAATACAGACAGAATCTTTCAAGCCGTGGAGAGGAGCTATACTTGCTGCATCTTCACTTGCCCATGACAACTTCTAATACAGTGCCCAGAACTGGCTGCCAAAAATTCTCCAAATTCATCACCTTCACTGCAGGCCAGAAAGTACACCTTTAGCTCCCACCAGCTTCTCTCCTGTAAAGGGAAAACAGGAAAGTCTCAGCCACTTGCCTTAGCCAACCAGTGAACAGTCTCCCACCTAAGTCTGACCTCTCTCTCCCAGCCTCTCTAAACATCTGTGCCTTCTTGCAAGCCCACACATTCTTCTTCTGTAGCCTTCCCCAGGAAAGATTTGCCTTCTTCTTATAACCCTTGCCTGTCCCACACAGGGCCTCATCCATCTGTCTCGCTGATGACATTAGAGAAATGTGGGTATGTCCCCAATACTGCACAGCCTGGGATGGTGCCCACAGTTGTTGGGTAGATCACATGAATAACCTAGCAAATAGGTGGAGAGCAGGGAGCTTAATAAAATACTTACCTCCTGATGCAAAGATCTTTTCACCAAAATCTGTTTTCTTCCTTCCTTCACTCTTTATTCCAATGATTTTTAGCTGCTATCAGTATGACCTATGGTTTGTTTGCAGCTATAGGGAAGGCAAAGGAAGAGAATATCCAGAAAGTAAATGGCCTTCATTTCCTCTGGGATGAAAAGACACGTGGGGTACCATGGGTTCAGGCTACTTTTTATAGCAAAACCATTTATTGTTATCTACTGCTATGTAACAAATTACCCCAAAATTAGCAACTTAACACATATTTATTATCTCACCATTTCTGTGGGTCAGATTCTGGACTTGGCTTGACTGAGGGCCTCTGGCAAGGGTCTCTCATGAAGATGTAGTCAAGCTATCAGCAGGCTGTGTGGTCTCATCTGATGGCTTGACTGGAAACTCTACTTTCACGATCTCTCACACGGTTTTGACAGGCCATGGTCCCTTACCGTGTAGGCTGCTCCACAGAGCTGCTTCCTGACATTACAGTTGGTGTCCCCCTCCAGGATGAGTGATCCAACAGAGAGCAAGGGCATCCAAGATGGAAACCACAGCTTTTTTGTAATCTGATCTTAGAAGTGACATCCCACCACTTCAGCCATTAGTACGTTCATTAGAAGTGCATAAGTCCAACCTACATTCAAGAGGAGGAGATTACACAAGGGCACAATCCCAGGAAGAAGGGAGTCTTGGGCCATCTCAGAGGCTGCTTACCATATTTTTGTTTTTACAGCAGATCTCATTTTCCAATACTGTCCATAACATGCTCTTCTGGAACCACATGCTCTTCTAGAACCATGTGCTCCTCTAGAATCATATGCTTTTCTAGAACTCTGCTTCTCTATAATTTTGCCACCCACCCATCAAAAGGTGGAGCCAATGTTCCCACTCTTTGTACCTGGGTAAGACTTTGTGAAGGTTTTAATCCATATTGAGGGGCATAAGTTATGCCTTGTGACTTTAAAGGCTTTCAATTTGTTTTCTGGAGACATTCACTTTTGGAACTCAGCTGCCCTGCTTTAAAGAAGCCCAAGCATCCCACAGAAAGGAGCTGAGACCTCAGGCCCAAAGCCCAAGCTAATCCTCTAGCTGACAGCCAGCACTAACATGCCATGTGAGCATGCCATCTTGGAAGGGACTCCTCGGGTGATGCCACGAGCAGCCCAAATTGAAGATTCACAAGAAAGAAAAATTGTTATTCTTAAACTACTAAATCTTGGGGTGACTTCTTACCCAGCGATAGATAATCAATTCAATTTCCAAAAGTCCCTTCCCAGTTGAGGGGTGAGCCTGAGGGACCCCCAGGCCAGCATTGGCAGGAAGAACCCATGAAACCATCCAGGTGGGAGTGACTGTGACTCCAGCACAGACAAGAGAGTCTGTTGGAGTAGGGGATGAGATTTCACCTGGGGTCTAGGAATCCTGAGAAGTGTGAGTCTGTTGTAGAGAGGGTCACTCAAACAGCAGTCTGAAGCCCAGTGGAGGGCCATGATGGGCAGGCCTAACACTCTGCAGGGAACTCATAACAGCTCCCCTGGGTATATATGCCTGGCTAGAGTAAGTAGGACCTGACTTGAAATGCACATCCAATTTCAGCTGCAGGGGAAAGAATGTCAGAGTTCTTGCTGCCCAGGGACAGCTGCCACAGACGGCAGCCACATTCAAGTGGTGACTGGGCCACAGAGACTCCAGCTCTCAGGCTGGCCTGAAGAGAAGAGGGGGAAGCTGGAATGGCATTCCAGCCTGGGTGCCATCCTGGCCAGGCATAGAAAAATGGAGCACAGAGAATTTTCCAGGTGCCACAGATCCCAAGCCCTCTTCATCTAAATGTCAGTAACTGCCTTCCTGTAGGTGGGCAAGAAAGCCAAGGTCACAGTTCAGGAAAACCCTCTCACAAAAGAACTTCTTGTAACCACATGCAGATGTTCCTAGTCTTAACTCCAGACTCTCTCACTGCCCATCTCAACAATGTACGTATCCTAAAGAGACTTTGAACATGGAAATGGCAAGTCTTGCAAGGAAAATGCAGGATGTGAGAAAGTCAAAGAAAGGTGGTGGAGAGTTGCATACCTACACCCTTGGAAAGAGGGATCAGCGGGCCAGGGGGAGGGGCAGGGACAGGTGACTAGCTGAAGAGGAAGAACCCCTGCCCCATAGCAAGAAGGAGGGCAGTGGGCTACCAACTGGGCACCGAGGCTCCCAGGGTTCTCAGGAAACATGATGAATCAGCAGTTTTCTTTTCAAAAGTGACCCTTTCTATGATCATATCACAAGTACCAGATGTCCAGCTTTCTCAGTAGCATCATGTACACACACACACATTCATCATCATCATCATCATCATCATCATCATCATCATCATCATCTTTGCATAGGAGTAATCATAACCAAAATTTAAGAATAAAGTAAGATTGAGCTTTTTAAAAAATGTTTACATTTAACATTTTAATATGATGTCCCAAGCAAATAGTTCCCTATGATATTTTGGTCCCTAAATTAAGTGATATCATTTTTTGTGGCCTTTTTTCAGTACCATGTGCTCTGGAGCACAGTCTCCCTGGTAGGAGCACTGCCTTCACTACCACCCCCTGGTGAGAGGACGAGTAAGGCCTGGCAGGGCCCAGCAAATTTCTTCTGGCAACTCCTAGAGCCATGAGGTAGGACTAAAAGGAGCCCGGAGCCAACAGTTCTACACAGATCCTGGCTTCCAGGCAGAACCAGGCCAGAAAGGAAGCAGACATGCTTGGAATTCCAAAAATGCATCCCTTTCTCAGGCCTCTGCTTGCTTCCCCAGGCCTCCTAGGACTCAGAGAGTGGGGCTGGGAAAGCAAACCTGACCCCCACCCCTCTAAAAGACAGGGAGAAACTCGTGCCCCACCCCAGCCTATCCTGGGATTTCCTCTGCATACCCCCAAAGCTGCCTGTGTGCCAGTGGACCAGCTCTAAGGAGGAATACTAGACCCCATCTCTCCTGATAATGCAGCCTTCAGTGACCCACCCTAGGGCTATGATCTTTAGTCCCCTTTCCTCTCACCTCCAACTCCATTCCCCAGACACAAGGGGACAGGAGCGAATCTTAGTCAGTCCCCCTCCCACTGATACCTGGTAAACTCTTATTTTTTCTTAAGAGTTCTGAATGTATCCTATCCAGAAAGAAGGCCCTTCATAACATTGGTCACAAGAAGTCACAGGCTGGTAGAAAGAGGGGGCTCACCCAACAAAACACATATGTCCATAATGAACTCCAAGAAATTGGTCTGGCATTGAGGGTTGGGAAGAACCTACCACTAAGAAAAGATTATGTATCTGAGACCCAGCTGGACTACCTCCAGCAGGCAAGTATGTGCCCACGATAGCAGACAGCAAACAATAGACAAGACATGGCGGACAGAACACAAAAGATAGAATACAGCAGACAGAGGACAGCAGAGGACAGGGGACAGCAGACAGGACACAACAGACAAGACATAGCAGAGAGCACACAGCAGACAGAACATGACAAACGGAGGAAGTGGACAAGGAAGAGCAGACAGGACATGGAAGACAGTACACAGCAGACAAGGGAAAAAAGACAGGAAATGGCAGGCAGTAGACGGCAGACAGGACAAAGCAGATGGGACACAGCAGAAAGGGACAGCATACGAGGAACAGCAGACAGGGAAATCAGACAGGGACAGGAGGCACGATGCAGCATAGAGGGGACAGCAGACAAGACACAGCAGATAAGGGACAGAAGACAGGAGACAACAGACAGGACATGGGAAATAGGACACAGTGAGACAGGATGTGGGAAATAGGACACAATGAAACCAAGGATCCTTATGACTAGGTAAATTTAGTTTTAAATCTTAGCTGTAGAAATCCTCTCCTTCTCCCCCTTCCCATCCCTCTCCCTCTCTCTCAAGCCCCTCTGCCCCTCAGAGACCTAGCCTCTCCCCTGGGTAATCAGTAACCCCAGAGGTAACAGAAGACAGTAGCCCAGACCTAACTAATGGTCACAGAGTCATGACTTTTGGCAGGCTAAAGAAAACAGCTTGACCTAGGATACGTTTCACCACTTGCGCCCTGAGGTAGAATGACCCCCTGGCTACCTTCCCATGAGACCAGACAGAGGGAGTCTGAAAAATACCTCAGAACTGCCCTCAATATCAAAACAAACAAAAAAAAGATTCATTACCCTTACCTCACCTCCAACTGTTGTAGCCGCCAGCCCCCAATAGACACACGGACCACCAGAAACCAATGAGTTATAGGAAGCACACTCTTTATTCAGCCAGCTGGGTCTGCCAGGGATATGCAGACCCCAAATTAAGCAGCCCCGAAATGTAGAGGTACAGAGTTTTTAAGCCCTAAATCCCATTCCTCATTCTGTCTGAACACAAAAGTCTATTTTTCTTCTATTTACTAACTGTCAACCCACAAGTCGGTTGTGCAAGCGGGAGTAAAGAAGCAGAAAGCTTATTGTTAGAATGTTATGTTCCCATGGGTGACAACCTATGTTCCCATGGGCGATAGCCAAGCAGTAATTTTCCAGCCAGCACACAACCAATCAGCTCCTAGTGAGATAGGACATCACTTGTAAAATTCTTAATCTTTTAGCAGGAAATGAAATGGGACATCTCTTCCCTCCTTTCTTTGGAAAAAGGCTCCCTCCCTCAAATCCTGATAATTGTCCTGGCACTCAGATCCTCTGGCTATTGATAAGGGTGATCAGCCCATTGTTAAGCAGAAACTGTGTTAAACCAGGCAGGGCTCTTAAGAGCCTGTTGGGTGGAGAGGACTTTAAGCCAAAGGTCTTTCTTTTTACTCTTTTAGAAGTATATTAACCAAGCCTGTTTCCCTTTACTCACTTAATAGGCAAATCACTAATAGAAATTAATAGATGTATAATTTAAATAACGAGTTTGTATTTTCTTTTCCTTGTCTAGGGACTGAGGTGAAGTGATAAGCGTCATCAGCCCACTGTTAAGCAGAAAAGATATTATGCCAGACGGGCCCTTAGAGTCTGAGAGAGGAGGAGACTTTAGGCCAAAGGTCCTTTTTTTTTTTTTTTTTTACTTTTTAAGAAATATATTAACTAACTCTGTTTCCCTTTACTCGCTCTTAGAAAAGAGCTAGGCAGGAAAGTTAGTTAGGGAGTTTCACGTCTGCCTGCAAAGACACTGAGGTCATCCTATTTTAGAAGGGATCTGCCCTAATCCGCCCACAATTAAGCAAGCCAGAAGGCATTTTTTTTAACTCACACAAAGAAACCAGTAGGCAGAGATTTAGGTACCAGTTTAAGCCAGTCGCTCGCACATGCCCATTGAAGACCCCAATGACCTTCAACTCACCTGAGTTTCATTATACCATCATTATGATATGATGCATATGGCCGGAATTTCATTAATATCATTATAACAGATGGAATTCTGGGAACAAACATGCACAGAAAGCAAAATGATGAATCACTGAGTCTTGTCAATCTTAGTTGTCAATCAAGGAAGCCCATTCCTCTAAGAAAAGTAACCACCCACAGCAAAAAGGGATAAACACCCCGAAGTGTTTGTTACCAGACCTTTCGAGCCACACTTCTCTTGCTCAAGGCCCGCTTCCACATCTGGAAGTGTACTTTCCTTTCTAATAAAACTTTTCTTTTCTACTGTATTTTGGTGACTTGCTCAATTCTTTGTTCAAGACATCAAAAATCTGGACAACGCACCAGGAGAGGACCCCACTCTCCAGTAACACCAGTATAACCCCTAAACCCCTAACCCACAGTGTCTTGTGATTTTGCCCTATATAATCTGTTACCTACATACCATCAAGGAGCCAGGTCTCAAGAGCACGAGCTTACCTGTGTCTCCAAGCTTGGTGCCATTTCCTTAAATAAACCTCTACTTTCTTTGCTTCAAATTCCTGTCCATGTATCCTGGCTTTGATTCATGCAGGCAAAATGAACCCCTTAAGTTCAGTAACAACAACAGACAGGACACAGCAGACAAGGACAGCAGATGGGATGACAGATGGGACAGCAGAAAAGACACAGCAGACAGGGGCAGCAGACATGGGACAGAGTGGACACAACAAACAAGGGACAGAAAACAGGGAACGACAGACAGAAAACAGCAGATAAGACAGCAGATAAAATAAGGGACAGAAAACAGGGAACAACAGACAGAAAACAGCAGATAAGACACAGAGCACAAGGACAACAGACAGTAGACAGGACATGGTAGATAGGGGAAAGCATATAAAACATGGTAGACAGGGACAACACATTAGACAACAGTCATCTTTCTGGCACTTCTGCTGTTGGAAACCCTCCAGCACTCTTCGTCTATGCTGGGAAGTGGGAGGAGAAAAATGCATGCATTGAGCTCACCTCCAAGTTTGATGGCAGCAGTTCTAACACAAAATGGTTTTATTTTTCCTCCTGTCACTACTCTCAGCCTATGTGACAAATCTCTTTGGGCATGTCCCAGTATTAAAAAATCTAGTCATACTGAATAGTGTCCCTGTAATGTAGAGAGGAGGCGAGAGAATTAAAATGTTAACCAAGATACATTCAGAGACTGCAATACACTGATCAGCTCTGCAGCCAGGCAAAGAGGACACTTTCAGAACAAAGGGAGATTTCTGCTGGGATTACTAACAACCCATTACCCTACCTGTGAAGGGGAAACAAGAATCATGAGTCATTCCCTATGACTAAACCTATGGATTAAAGGCTGGGAACTGCCAGCAGGCCTTTCACTCTAGGTATTCTTGCCTTTTCACGCTACATACACTTCTCCTCTTCACTCTATGTCCATATCAAAGGAAATGGGTTAACAAAGTCTATTAAACTATAACTCACAGGAACTAAAGAATGATATATAAACTGAATTCCCCAAATACTCAGAGTCCCTCCCAGTGCATTTACTCTTTCTCTCCCACTGAGCTCGCTCTATTGTCACTGTCCCTCTCACTGTCACTCTCTCTGTCTCTCTCATGGTCCCTCTCACTGTCTTTCTCTTGGTATTCTGCACTCTGTCCCTCTCAGTGCTTTTACTGTCTCTCTCACTGTCTCCTTACTCTCTGTCTCTGAGAGGAGACCACACTCTGTCTGTGGAGTGTTATCTCTTTTCTAATAAACTTTTTTTTTTACTAACTTTGGCGTGTGTGTTGAATTTTTTCTACACTCTCCACCAAAGACCCTCTTCTCTCATTGCAAGTCTTGTCTCCCCACACCAACTCTGAGAAATTTGCCTTGTCCTGTATCAATGCATCTAGTCTCATTAAAATTCATTCTCCTGTCTATGGCCATGCCACCCTGAACACGCCCAATCCCATCTGATCTCGGAAGCTAAGCAGAGTCGGGCCTGGTTAGTACTTGGATGGGACACCACCTAGGAAGACCAGGTGCTGTAGGCGTAAAAAATAAAAAATAAAAAATAAATAAGGGATTGTAAGCTGACAAATTCCTTGCAATCTGTGAGGTCAACCAAAGTTTGCCTCACTTAAAAAATAAATTTCATTCTCCTGTCCATGCTCCACTCACATGGCAGGGAGATGGTAGGCTAAGGGAGAAGACCTTCTCATCAGACATGTCCACACTTCTGCAGAAGTGCCAGACAAATTTCCTTCCACAGCATAGAGGCACTCTCCAGGAGGGTGGTCCCAGGGGACTCTCTCCACTCTTGTCTGTGCCATCTACTCTTTCAGTCTCCCATCAGAGCCCAGCACTCTTATGGGAGTCCACAGCACACTCAAGGCCACTGATGGCTAATGAAATGTGTACTGTGTATTTTATGTTGTACAAATTTCTCAATTTAAAATTGTGATAGTGAACATAGATAAATATAACCATGGTGTGCTGGTAAATGTAAACAACCAGGTTTCCATCAATAAAGTTGTGATATGTAGTATTTTCCAATTTCTATTGTGTAAATATTCTCATCATGGCCAATTTTAGGCTGCCAAAGTCATGTCATAGACACAGAGGCGGCAAATAGGTGCACAATCAGCCGGTGAAAGGCTGCCCAGCTCAGCACACCACTAGAGAAAGCACACATAAAAAGGTCCTCAGTCACTTTTAAGAGTGTAAAAGAGTCCTGAGATCAAAAAGTTTGAGGACCACTACTCTACATTGCACCTGATCAAAACATGTACGAAGGACTGCAGGCACCATCGGGACGGGAGAGGCAGAGGACTTCGTCCCCACCTTCTGAAAGCTCCAACCTAACTGAGGAGTCCCTGGTGGAAGACTCTAGCAACTGAAGAGTCAATTCCATCAGGAAGTGTGGCAGGAGGGCTGAGAAAGGGGATGGAGACTAGGTATCCTACAGCTAGAGGCGGGTACAGTGGGGAGAGCTTAGGTTCTGTTATCAGGTGAACCTGGTTTCTACTGAAATCAGCTATAACCAGTTCCTTAGCACTGCTTTCTGGACTGCTTTGAGCCACATTCCTCACCAAGGACCCCAGAGGCACACTGCTGATGGCATGCTGAACTAGGACACAAATGGAGCAGCAAGAAGACTGGTGGTTTTGATGCAGGACAGGGCAAATTTCCCTGAGTCGGGGGAAACCAAGCCCTGCACCAAGAGAAGAAGAGGGTCCTTTGGCATAAAGTGTAGAAAGAATTCAACACACACCAAAGCTAGTGTCAAAAAGAAAGTTTATTAGAAAAGGGGTAACACTCCACAGAGTGTGGTCTCCTCTCAGAGGCAAAGAATGAGAGGGACAGTGAGAGGGAACCTGAGTATTTGGGCAATTCAGTTTATATATCATTCTTTAGTTCCTGTGAGTTATAGTTTAATAGACTTTGTTAACCCATTTCCTTTGATATGGACATATAGTGAAGAAGGAGAAGGGTATGTAGCGTGAAAAGGTAAGAACACCTAGAGTGAA